TGATAGTTAATTTTTTATATATATAATTCTTATTAAATAATTTTATTTGATTAAAAAAAATTTCAATTGATTTGCCCATAAATGAATTGGGCCACTTATGAGCAGGACTATTTCTTACTACGCTTATATTTGATGGTAGAGAAATGAGTATTTTATTAATTAAATTATAAAAATAAGATAGAATTAAGAAATTTATATATTTTTGTTATGGTGTATTGTGTTGTAATTATAGGTATTTTTTATTTTTTTTATTATCTAAAGATATTTAAAATATTAATTAAAGTTAATAAAAATATATGAAAAATTAATTAAAATTAACAAATTTACGACCTTAATTATATCGACGTAACTGCACTTGAGCCTCACGGCCCAACGATCATAAGTTGATTTGTAAAGTGCATTCCCCAACTTGAAAGCTGAGGTTCGATTCCCCCACTCCCAAATTTGTAACCCTGTTCAAAAAAAATTATATCGACGTGACTTGTTAACCATGTGGAGGAAAGGGCCATATAACAAGATTAACTCTCGAAGTCAAGTCAAGAAGTGCAGATTTTTTTTTTTTAATCAGCAAAGAGAATTTTATGGATTAACTCGAAGTCCACATCCTTGTTAAAGAAAAGTTTGCAGTGCTGCTTAAAGGATTCCCAACAACTTCCTGGTCCAACACTATAGCCTCCCCTGCACAATTCTTGAGTCCCTCTCCTGCACCAGTTCAATCACAACTAGACTTGGCAAACAGGTTGGATTGGGTGGGTTCGGATTTGGCCGGCCTCGGATCTTGAATTTTTAAGATTGAGTCATTTTAGATGTCGGGTTAAAAGGAATAGACCCATGACTCACCCACACGGGTCTTGAATTAGGTCGGATGAACCCAACTTTTAAAAAGTTAAAATTAAATTAAATTTTTTTTATATTTTTCTTTAATAAAATTTAATACTAATTAACTATTTAGTTAAAAAACTTTATTAAACGTTAATTTTCATTTTATGATTCAATTTTCATTCCTGTCTCAAGAAAAGAAAATGGAAAGATTGCTAATTATATAGGTAGAACTAAAATATATATCAAATATATAATACATATATAATATTTAGAATTCATAATTTCATAAAGGCACTAATTTTCATTGAAAGAAAAGACATAAAACTAACTTTCATTAAAAGAAAAGACATAAAGGATTAGAATTCAAAAGTCAAATCCAATATATATGTTAATATCTAGTATCTATTCAATATTTATAAGGGTATTTTACAAAAAATATAGTTCTATTCAATATTTAGAAAGGTATTATACAAAAAATATAACCCTATTCAATATTAAAGTTAAAAGGTAAATTCAAAATATGTCTAAACAAATATAAGAAAAAATTGAATCAGGATTGATTTTTATTAACTAGGAATAAATTATTAATTAAGAACAAACTAGTAATTTGGAATAAATTACCAATTAAGAACAAACCTTGATGCTCTTGATGTTTTTGTCATTATGCTTCTAATGGTGATGAGAGTATTTTAACCATTGGCTTTTGATTTTCAATAAGCATTCTTGCTTTCTTTCTTTTTTTTTTAAAAAAGATTTTTTTCACAATATCATATGATACAACTCATTATATATCACATAATCTGATTTTTGATGCAAGTGTCACCAAAGAGAAAGATTAAAGAGTTTGAGATAACGAAGGAGAGAGCAAGAGTGGAAAAAAGGAAAAGTTAAGAGAAAGCAAAATTGACGAAAAGTTAAGATTTGTATATTTTATTTATTTCTACTTTTAGGATTAAGAAATTAGAAATTAGAAATTAATTTTTAAATAATCGAATAAAAAATAAATAAATAATAGTTCGGGTCATTTCGGGTGACCCAATCTACCTATAACTCAACCCATTTGAGTTTGGATAATTTCAGTCTTGATAATTTCAGTCTTGATCATTTCGGATTTCGAATTAATATATAAAACCTATCACCCAACCCATAACGAATGAGTTAGGTCAGATTTTCAAATTGGATCCAATTTTGCCAAGTCTAACCACAACCCAATAGGCTACCACTACTAGAATACTTAACTTCACCGACCTACCATCACTGACCTAACAATTTTCCTCAGTGAATTGAAAGTTTACCGACAAGCAACATGTCTAAAACTCTAGGAACAATTAAATTAAGAGTAATATATATTATTTATGGGTCAGGCATAGGTCAAACAAGATCTTTGTCGGTGAATTAAAACAATGCACATGTGTTTTTTGTTGGTCATATCATGCAATATTCAGTCTGGCAACCGGCAAACCAAAACAGAAATTATTGAAGTGTTTCTTGTTGGTAATTTCGCAAACTTAACTTACCCCTGTAAATCCAACTGACTATGGCAGGAGTTGCAGCCTTTTATTCTAGTTACCGACGTGCTTCTTGTCGATGAAATGGAAGATCAACTTATTCTAGTCGGTAATTTACCATATTTCACTACAAGCAAATGCATCTATACCAACGGAAATTTTCTGTTTGTATACACCCCTTTTCCGTTGGTATAAACCCCAAGGAACTATTCCAACGGAAGAGTTTTCAGTCGGTAGAAACCTCGTCAGTATAGGGTCTATACCAACGCCTGATCCGTCTGTATAAACCCTTAGATCTATTCCGATGGAAGATTTGTCCATTGGTATAAACCTTGGAAAATCTTAAGAATTTTTCCGTTTGTATAGACCCTTACCTTTACAAACAGATAATTCCATCAGTATAGATTCTTTTTTTTTTTTTTTACAATTGATAATTCAATTTTATTTTATTTATAATTTTCTCCTGTGCTTATTTTTTTCTATATTGACAAATACCATTTGTCTTTTTTTTTTTTAGAACAAAGAGAAATTCTCAAGCTTCTATAATCAACTTCAATTCTTCATATATTGAAATATTTGAAAAAATGTTCATTTAAAGCATGTAAAATATTGGGAAAAAAAGAATAAAAACGTGTAACATAATTTGCTGTAAAATATTTTCTTAGCTTCGTTTTTCCCTGCCATATGGAAGCTAGGCTGAAGAACTATATACAGTGATGTTTGAGTAAAGTGCATATATATGCATTTGATTGAATAAGTTTCTACTTCCAGCTGGCTTCCTCAAGTTCTCGGAGCCTTCCTACCTTCTCCTCAATCTCCTCAATCAGCTCCTCACGTCGCAGTTGTGCCCTTGCATTCTCCTCAATGTCTTCTTGCTGCATTGTCATGGTTCTTAGTTAAACTTACAATGACCATACCATTATGTACAACTATCAATTCTCTGTTTTGACCAATACAACTATCAATTTGTTATAGTTGAACAAAACAGTGACTGGCATAAGACCATTGCAGCAAACGATACAAGGCTTTATCTCTAGTTAGAGCATTTCAGACATTTTATTTTACCCTAACAAAATCAATTTTCAACACCTGTCAAACACTTTCAAATTTCTTGAAGCACTACACTATTGCTCATCAGTGTCAATTTTTATGTTCTCTCTTTTGTAATGAATGACAACTCTTCTGGAATTGAAGCAATGAAATAGAAAATATTACCTTCTCATAAAACCAGTGCCCAGTGCCATCTCCTCCATCTTTCCTGTATGCTTCAGAATCATAGTATGGATCCTACACAAAAACTTTTTTAAGAAAAAAGATTGATGTAGATGTCAAAAACTCAACACTGTAAGTCCTAAGAATGAGATTAACAGATTACAATATGCTTACTTTGGTGGAACCCAAGAACAAACATCCCCAACAAGTGAACATGATGTAGAAAGTATCTACAAAACAAAACAAAAAAGGACAACCTCAGTTTAGTCATCTATTGAACCAAACACATAGCAGACATAAAATAAAACTAGCATTTAACCAAACACATAGCAGACATAAAAAAAAACTATTTGAAGTGACTTTCAAACATTCTTTATGGCTGTATCACTGAGATGCCAGATAGATTTGTTGGTTATAATTTCTCTTTATGCATCCAGTTGTTGAACTTGATGAACAAAAACAGCCGTCAGAGACCAATTAGGAAGAGCATTCACTCTAATCAAAGATGCCCTTTTGCTCCTACTGCTATCATCATTCTATTAGACCGCAAATTCACAAAACATTCATTTTTGAAAATAGAGAGAATCACAGTGAACAGAGTTAAAAAGGAAGCTAGCAACTTGTATATACTTGGTTCCAGCCACTGAAAAGTTTGTTGCTTGAATATTGCCCAAGCTGCAATTGCCCAGAAAAAAAAAAAAAAAAAACAAGGAAGAAGGGTGCCTAAGATATTCATGCAATGATCAAAATATGAGATTTGAGAAGGGAGTACCAATTTGGGAGACGAGGGGATGTGGGATTGGGTGGGATGGGGAGAGCATTGAGGATGGAGCTTAGTCATAAAGAAGCACTTGATAGCTTCAGCCATTTTTGCTCTGAATCAGGTGAAGAATAATAGGGGTTAGGCACTTTTGTTGGTATTTTCTCTGCTTTGTTGTATGGATAAGGAAACCATTTGCATCCACCCTTTGTTTAGAAGATACAAAGTGCAGGATTACAAAATGATTTAAGACGTAGAAAAGAAATGCATTTCTTATTACAAAATGGGAAAGTGCAAACCAAAAATAAAAAAGAAGGAAACATAGTTGAACCCTAGCAGCTAGCCCTCAAAATCAAACATAAACTCCAACACCAAATCCATTTGAAGTTGATAAGCAGATATAGAAATAAAAGAAATGAAGTTTAGACTAACTCAAATATATAAGAGAGAAATAAAATGGCTAGAAGAAATGAAGTTTAGACTAACAAATAAGGACACATAAACAAGGAAAAAATATGTGGTTACAATCTACCCCACCTTAGAAATTGAAAAATTTTGGTAATGATCCCATAATGTCATTTAAGTACTCCAACTCTATGCCCAAACATATCCAAGCCAAAAGTAGTGGAAGTGTTATAATCTCAACATCTAGCATTAAGGGACAAATGGAGGAAACACAAAGCTGAGATTCTTTATATCACAAAAAACTAGTGCTAAGGTGCAGATCCCCTTCCTCCAAAGAGAGAGGGGCACCCAAGTTAGAACAGAAAAAAAAAAAAAAGGATTAAGTAAGCTTTAATTTATGTGCCCAGTTGCTTACTAAAATTAATATGGTTACCAAAAAAATTGACAATGGTAGCCTTTTAATAATTTGTTTCGTTGGTTTAACAAACTTTTTTTTTGGGTAAAATACTACAAGCCCATTTATATGGGGTAAGATTAAGAAGAACATACACAATTTTGAAAATTGCAGTTGTTGGAGCTTTTCTTTCATAATTTAGTAATGATGTTAGTGTCAGTAGGTTATGATCAATATTCAATAATAAACATATCTAATTAGTTACCTGAGAAATGAGAAACCTTTCAGCAGTTAGTTGTTATTGATTTATTGCAATGACACAACATATAAATAACAGACAAACACTGATTTGGACAACTTCTTCTGTAAGAAAAATGGGATTGCTAATTTGAAACTCACCCTGATTCAACAACTGATGGGTGTGTGGGAGCACAAGCATAAAAGGACTAAGCTTGTGACTCTCTATTAGCAACTCCAAGAGATACCTGTCAATGAAGAAAAAAAAAAGAGTAAGAAAATTGGATATAAGTTTGACCTACTCACAAACATCTTCAAAACAGAAAATTACCCAGACCAGTTGAATTTACTGACATCTCAGCTATAGAAATTAAATTTTCTAATATGACACACATGTGTGTGCATCAGCGTCAATGCAATCCATCCAATTCCATTCTATTTAAACTAGCAGAATTTAATGAGAATCTTATAAATTTAATTAAAAGCCAAAAGGCATCCACAGCCAAGATTCAAAGAATAAGCTCAGAAATGGCAGGATTAGATAACCGTAATATAAGATCCCGTCTTATATTGCTTCATTTCTATAAAAAAAAAAAAAG